ACACACATAAAGCAGGCTATGTATGGGTCCAGGTCCGTGCCAAAAAAAAAAAAAAAAATCAGGTCTGGGACTCTGGCCCATACCCCACTCAAAGGGTCACAGGGCCAGACCCAATTAACAACCCGGGCCCAGACCCAAGTCAACGGGTACAGACCCGCATCAGCGGTAGGTCAACCCCGGAAACCGGACACCGGGCTGGTTGTGTGGTTGGTTGGGTGGTTGGTGGTTGGGTGGATGGCTGGTTCGTTGGGTGGTTCCGCGCTTGGGTGGTTGGGTGGTTCTGCGGTTGGGTGGTTCGGTGGTTGGGTGGTTGGGTAGTTGGGTGGTTGGGTCGTTCGGTGGTTGCGTAGTTGGGTAGTTGGGCCTGGGCCTGGGCCTGTCCTTGCAGCTGCACCTGGGCCTGGGCCTATACCTGGAGCTGCACCTGGGCCTGGGCCTATACCTGGAGCTGCACCTGGGCCTGCATCTAGGCCTATCCCTGCCCCTACATCCGCACCTGCACCTGCACCTCAGCTTGCACCTGCACCTGCGCCTGCACCTGAGTCTGGGCCTGCATCTGGCCCTGCACCGGGACCTGCGCCTGCACCTGGGCCTGCATCTGCACCTGCACCTCGACCTGCACCTGGGCTTGCATCTGGGCCTGCATCTGCACCTGCACCTGGACCTGCAGTTGGGCCAAGCGAAGGCCGGGGCAGTCGGGATGGCTTGATCCTCCGACAACCAACACTTGGGTGTCCCATCGGTGTGTGCCTTGGCGTGGCACTGCACCTGGGGCTGCACCTGGGCCTGCACCTGTACATGCACGTGGGCCTGCATGCGGGCCTGGACGTGGGCCTGCACGTGGGCCTGCACCTGGGCCTGCACATGGGCCTGGGCCTGCACCTGGGCCTGGGCTTGCACCTGGGCCCGGGGCTGCACCTGGGCCTGCACCTGGGCCTGCGGCTGTACATGCACGTGGGCCTACACCTGGGCCTCCTCAGCGGGCCTGCACCTACACATGGGCCTGCATCTGTACATGGGCCAGGGCTTGCACCTGGGCCGGGACTTGCAGCGGGGCCTGCACATGGGCGTGCATCTGTACCTGCACGTGGGCATGGGCATGGGCCTGCACCTGGGCCTCCACCTGGGCCCAGGTGCAGGCCCGCTGTCGCGGGTGCACCTGGGCGTGAACCTGCACCTGCACCCCACACCTTCGGAAAACCCCTAACCCCCCCCCCAAACGCACGGAACTTGGGTTCGCGGACCCCGTTTATTCGCGTCCAACGCGCGTTTTAACGGGGATTGAACGTGAATTCAACGCGCGTATATTTTTCAACGCGGCACCGACGTTGAATCCAGTTTTGGACACACAGATTGTAGCCATGATCCCCAATTGGCATGAAGAGTAAATCGAGATATACTACGGCCCCCACTTCCCTTTCTAACCTCGGATGCAGCAACTCCCCTGGCCTCCGAGAAGACTGTTCTTGACAACGGCATAACTTACTGACCATCTCCATCATTCCATCCCAATAGTATAGCTCGCTTATCTTGGCATACGTGGCATTAACTCCCCGATGTCCTCCCCCAATGCCATCATGAAGCGCAGCTATAATATCGATTTAACGGTTCCTGCCACACACAACCCTCCTGGGGTTTCCCACTTGCCTCTTTACAAAATGATGGCCATATCTCACCAAATAGAGATGCCTAATCTTTTGAGCCCTTTCACTTCCATCCCTATCCCGCATTTCACACGATAGGAGAAGTCCCAGCTCCAGGTAGATTCCATCATACTCCTCTGCACGGAATGCTTCTTTGATCTCTCCCTCCTCAAGCTCATCATCCTGGCTTTCTGGCACCATATATTCATTTTCAGCTGGATTCAGCGAGCTTATCTGATCAAAGTTTCCCTGCAAAAGTGTATTGACGAGGAGGTACATTCCTCCCATCAATTCCTCGTGCTTCTCTACCTGGTCTGGCCCTTCCTCTATCGTTCTTACCTCCTCCACCAGACTATGCATGCCTGCTAGTGCCAATTTCATCATCCATTGGACATCTTTGCCGCCCCATAGGTCCTCTCCCTCAAAGGGCTTGAGCACAAGCTCTGCCTTCTGTTCATACCCCTTGGGGGCAAGCCAGATGGGATGGCCAACGCAATTCGACACTCGCAAAGACCATTCATTTATGTGAAGACGGATGTCTTCCTCTTGATCCAGGAACCCATCAACTGGGGGTGTAGTCTCTACTGCCTTCTCCTTCTGCTGGTCCCAGTCGATGCGACTTAACCCATCTGCTCTATTCTTGTTTCCAGGGATCCTTTCCAACTCGAAGTTAAACATCCAGATGTAAGTCAACTATCTGGAGACAGTTGGATCCGACAGAACATAATTCCTCAATGAATAGGCGAGCGCAGTTGGGTCCACTCGAACCTCCTGCCAAAAATATAATTCCCGAAGATCCTTAGGCAGTGAAGGACCGCGAGAGTCTCTTTCTTCAACTGAGAGTAGTTTCTCTAAGTTGTATTCAGAGTTCGACTCTCAAACCTCAATGGTCTCTCTTTTCCTTCGATATCTGCCTGAATCAAGACTCCTCCCAAAGCAGTCGGTCCAGCGTCCGTTTCAACGACAAATGGTCTTACCTCTGTGGCATCATAGTCTGACGCTCCCAGTACTAACCCTCCTTCTCGAAACTCCTCTTTCATCCTAGCCACTGCCTTCTCCTGCTTCTCTCCCTAGATCCATTCCTGATCCTGACGGACTAACTTTCTCAAGTGTTCGGTCTTGGGCAAAATTCTTGACGAAGGTCCTCCAGAACCCACAGGTGCCGAGCAAGCTTCTAACATCAGTTGTCGAATGGAATGGTACTGACCATTCGATAATCTTGTCCGTTTTTCTTACGTCCGGCCGACGACCCTTCTCATTACAGACGAACCCACTTGCGGTGAGATTGTGCTCTTCAAGCAAATTCAGGACTTTATCAAGATCCTGGACGTACTTCCAGACAAATCGCCTTACTCCCGACAAGACTTTGTCACTCTCCTTCTCTCTCGGCCCCTTTACCGCCAAGTCGTCGATATACGGCTTAGTGACATGCGGGCCGACTGACTGCATGGCTCAAATCATATGTCGTTGAACCATCGCCACCGCATTAGTCCACCTTTGTGGAGCCACATTCATATGGATCAATCCTCTAGGCGTATGCATTGCTGTCAAGTGTACCTTCTGTGAGACCCTACTCTCCTCAGCTGCTCTCCGTTGTCTCCTTTCCTCACATGGTCTTAACACCAAGCAAGTGGTCGGTCGACAAAGTGCCTATCCATGGGTAATCCTCCCTTCATGCTAGTCTAATGTCTCAACCTCATTGTCATCTTCACCCCAGAGCTACACGTGGCATGCAATCTGAACTAGTGTCCTCGCTTGGACCTACCGCAATGTGCCACCCAACCGCTTAATAAATAAAATTAAATATACGGTCCATATTTATCAGGAAGCGGTCAAGCGGCAACAACAGATAGTTTCATACCCCTGCAAACAATTCTACTCCAACTTTGACTAGGCTGAAACAGATGCTTGCAGCAAGCATACTCTATCTGCAATAGTCTATTAGCTGTTAGCAGTCCGTCACAACTAACTAATCAAAAATAAAATTAAAATCGTTTGCTGAAATGCATGATGAACGGAAATATTACAATATTGAACAATGGCGTAATTACTGGAATCTGCCCTCCCCCTGTATCCCTCTTTAGTTCTCACTTTGTGTCAACATCATGGAACTCTGGTTCAGCGGCGTGTCTAACGGTGTGCAATTGTCCCACCCTTGTGCCCCAAGTCAGTACAAGACCAGCCAGCCCCGTCTGTACTACTCGCGTACACCACGAGTCGTATATCCCGCCAGAGCCTCTTTATAGAAGTCCGGTACTCGTCTCTCCCCCAAGGAACACGTGAAAACCTGCAACATCACTCTCCACTAACTGTCTAGATGAATCCAAGATCGGATATGAGACTGATTGGGCCCTTTGTAAATAAGAACGAAGCGCATAGCTGACGGATCTCCAAGAAACAAACAAATGTGAAGGCAAGACATTCGTTCGGCAGAACAGAAATTTTACGCCAGCAGATGATTTTGTTCTATTGCTCACTAAGGCCGTAGAGGGCACAAAGTGCTCAGCCTAGACAAGACACACCTCTAGCCTTTTTCCAGATATCTGCGATTCTCTTATCTGGCATCAAATCAGACGCGAAGCGTCTACTGAGCACAGTGCAAGGTCAGGAAATCAATACTCTAGACCACAAAGTGACTTGTCACCGTAAAACTATAAGGAATCATGCCAATAAGATTACAATCTTGTGTCTAAAGCTTTCATAATATAATATCCGATTTCGAAACTAAGAAATTCCGCTAACGCGCCTCGATCGACACCAGAGAAAGAGGTAGGCTAGCCAAGCTATATACACGTTCGATAGGAAGAGGATCTTTATCAAGCCCCACTTAATTGGAGATTGCCTGACATGACCTCTACAGTGCAACAAGCAGACCAAAGAACAAGCGGCAAAGCATGAGTGTACTAGTCCCAGCGGGTTGGCATGGTGACCGTGACCCGAGTGCTTCGTCCAGGGCCCTTCAGAGGCAACACCCGTCTCCCACCAGCTTGCTCCCCGGGAAGAATGCCGACTCTCAAGGTTGAGCACTTGCAACACCTCATAATGAGAGGACTCTCAAGACAGAACTCACTTCCTCACGGTAAGAAGCAACGAAGACAGTAGATAAGGTAAGGAGCAACGTACCTCATAATGCTGCCCCCTACCACATATTTCTCACCAGTAACCTGACGTGCATTTATGATGTCCGGCCGATGCCTCGGCACAACCCACAATACAATGCAGTTCCACCTCGGCTTAAATGCCATGTCAGCAAGCTCTCATCATCCATCGTGCACCCCATATGACACCACATAGCCTTCCAGGTGCGCCCTCACTACTCAGGGCCGCCAATACACCAACGCACAAGCGTTATCATTGTCTCACCATTTCCCCAAGAAGGACCAAAAAGCTACTGCGAAGGAGCCAGCGGAGCGGCTCGAACCAGCTCCGATAGCAAATTGCAAGGAAAATCAGCGATAGTGAAATGATGGAAATCAAGAATGCAAAATCACATTGAAAGCCATAAAGTCCAACGCTGTCCAGAAAGCAGAAATGCACTGATATTACACCAATGGAGAACCAAAGCACCGAATCCGAATGTCAATGAGAGCATACTCTTGCCACCACCAACATACCCGCTTTTCGCAGATGTACCAAAGGACAGCGGGGGGAGGGAGGGGGGAGGGATGACACATAAATTGAGAAATAGTCCATTTTTTCTTAGCCCTACTGACACACCGTCGTTGCAATGGTAATCCATCCCAGTACGAGAGGAAACATTTAAAAAACCTGCCCCCCCCACTTCCCCCTTCCCCCCCTCGCCCCCCGCCCCCCCAACAATCCAACCCCTACTTCTCAGGTGTGAGGAACGAGCCCTCAAGTGGCCCTATCAGACATCACATTGTTCTGGGCTAAGGCCCCCAGCAAGCCAAGTGCCCGTCCTAAGTGAAGGCGGGCCTGAATATTCGTCAAAGGCAAATCTCGACATTTCCATATGGGGGTATTCAGGCTCTCGCAGCACGCCAGTTGGTTGGGAAGACGCGTGAGCCTCACAAAGCTGCGGCATACAGTTGGCCCAGGCCTTGACAGTTGCGCCTGGGCACACATACATAAAGCAGGGCTGATACATTGGGAAACAGGCTTTCGGCCTTTCTAAAAGCAGTAGTGCCAATGCACCTGCCCGGGGACCCTGCACAGATGCCGCAAACAGCCCAAGTCCGGAACACTCAGGCCTTGCCCAACTCAAAAGGGCCCAGGCCCTCAACTGTAAGTGTCGGGCCTGGGCACAGGGTCTGAGGCCCAACCAGAAGCTACTGGAAGCTTCCAGCCAGGCCACACGCAGCATCAAGCAGGCTGACACTTCCATAAAGGAAGTGAGGCAGCCGAGGCCAGGCATTCTGGCCAACGCTGGCAATGCGGAAGTGCTGCTGCGCTTCTGCTTGATGTGCGCTAATGCCAGGGGCGCTGACGGAGCGCTAGGTGGTGAGTGGGTCGCTGCAGGGCAGCGGGGCGCAGGCGGCCATAGCCGGGCTGCTAGGCGCCAGGGGGTACAGTGGATGATCGGGTGGTCTTCAGGGAGTGAGGCGCTGTGTGCGATAATCAAGGTCTGATTGAGGATGACGAGATACGTACCTCGTACATGAAGAAAGGTCGTCGATGGTGTTGACAGTCATGTACATTGGTCTTCGTGAGCCGAAGTGATCCTGTTGTGTGAACCAGCTGTAGGGTAGTATAGTGTGGTAGAGTAGGCTGGGCGCTGTGCGCCAGACAGAGAGAGCGACTCTGGATATTGTGTTGGTGTGGCCTACGGGCTTGGACATTGGCTCAATACTTCATACTTCTGCGCACACTAGTCAAATGGCGGGCTCGCAATTCAGCTCGCCGCCTCCACGCACCCGGGAGCAGATGGAGCTCCAGCAAGTAGAGAGGATCCGTTTAAGGTTAGAGGAGGAACTTAGACAGGCTACTAAAAGAGAAAAAGAGATCAAAGAAAGAAGTGTCAGATTAGAGGGCGGGGAGGCAGACATGGTTGCCCTAGAGGTATTAGAGGACTCTGCACTTAACACTACAGGAAAGATCCTGAAGGCAAGTGTCCTATCCATGCATGCGTACACAGACAGTAAAATGGACGCAATGCAGGATACTCTAGACCAGATTCTGCAAGCGCTGCATAAGCCAGGGATCCGGCCAGCAACTTTACCATCGCTGCCACTCTCAGCGATGACAGGCCTCTATGCAGCTCAATCAGGACCACCACCAACTGTATCATCAACAGTAGCTCTATCTCAAACTGTTGCTTCTTCATCTTCTGGTCCAGCGACTGTTGCTACACCACAGTCGCCACCAGTTTAACAACACGGACAGCAATATCCTTGGTACCCCAAGACCCCACTGAACCCACTTGCAACCTTCTCAGGAGATAAGAAGGATGAGGCTCTCGACACATGGTTGAGAACGGTGCCAGTGTGGGTAAGGGCAAAGAGGACATTGGTAGAAGAGGAGGTGATTATTGCTGCATCCTACTTAGAGGGTTTAGCAGCCCGTTGGCTAAACGGATTGGTAGCTTCAAAGGGCTTCGGCAGGAACATGCATGATTGGGCGCAGACCCACACATTAGAAAGCTTTATGGACTTAGTGGAGGCTCGTTGGCACAACCCTCAGCAGGCACAAATTGCCACTGATGGGCAGTTGGCCGCGGCAAGGGTGGTCAACAAGGAGTTAGGGGCAGGCCGCTAACC